GTCATGCGGGGCATACTTGAGCTACCCGGGGTTACTTGAACCCAAAAAAAAATGTTTACTTATTTGTTTATGTTTTATAAAATTATTTAGTATGAAAGTAAATAAGTTAATTATACACTTACTCAAATTAAGTAACATGAAAAATAAAAAAGTGTTAAATTTTTTTGCAAAAAGTGATCAAAAAATATTTTATTTAAAGGAAACGACAATAATGGTAAAAATTTAGTGTAAAACTTTTGTCTGTCTAGACATAACCAAAAAAGATAAAAGTTATTTGACAGCATTTCCTAAAAGAAGTATCAGTTACTACAAAATGTAGCAATTATAATTGTCTTTTAATTTTATTATTTTGATAAAAAGATTATTTTTATGTTTGAAGTTCAAAATTTGGGGCTACTTGAACCCAAATGTCATTGTAGTAGCTTATGTATGAAAATGATTAAATTTATATTTCATTAACATTAAACTCCAAAGTGAAATAATATTTTTAAAAGGAGTTGATATATTTATTATTTTAACCATGTTTTTAATATTTGTTAGGTAATAAAATGTATACCTAAATAATGTTGATGATTGGTTAAAGCTATTGTTATGCACCTTTTTGCGTATACTTCATGCTATCATACCATTCTACCAAAATGGTTCGCAGATTTAAAAGAAAATTAAGATCCTGAGCTTACAAAGACTATACCGTTCAAAACTAAGAAACCACGCCTTACTATCACAAAAAACATGCAGGGCATCCAGCTGTCTTCATACCTGAAGAAGAACAGTCATTTTGTGATTACTTAAATAAAGCTTCAACTTTTGGCTACCCACTGTCCTCATTTGATCTTCAAATTATTGTGAAATCTTATCTAGATCGATTAGGGAGTGATGTTCAATGTTTCAATGAAAATCTCTCAGGTGTCAAATTGGTAAAAGCTTTTATTAGAAGACATCATCAGCTATCCAAAAGATTTGCTAGAAACCTCAAAAGGGCAGGGCTTTTTAAATAATGGGTTTAAGTAGCCCCACAATAGGGGCTACTTGAACCCAATCTTAACCCCCCCAAAAAAAGGGGACAGAAGTCCACCCAAATATTTTTTTCTCTACAATCATCATTACTCATAAGTCCATGAATAAGCAACAAGAAGTTTTTTTTACATTGACATAAATATGAGAGAGAACCACAAACATCAAATATGAGAGAGAACCACAAACATCAAATATGAGAGAGAACCACAAACATCAAATATGAAAGAGAACCACAAACATCAAATAAATATGAGAGAGAACCGCAAACATCAAATAAATATGAGAGAGAACCACAAACATCAAATAAATATGAGAGAGAACCACAAATATCAAATAAATATGAGAGAGAACCACAAACATCAAATAAATATGAGAGAGAACCACAAACATCAAATGTGTATCAAATTTGGGTCCAAGTAGCTCCGTATGACGGTACTCTAATTGTTCAGAAATAACTTTAGTTCCAATTTTCGTGTTTTTCCAATTTTTGTATTTGCAGTTCATGTTCTGGCCAGCACACCCATTTGAAAAGTAATGGACAATTTCTATTTAATGAGAAATATTGCTTTTAATATGTTCAATTGTTAGCTTCATCACATGATAAACCATATTTACATCATGCAGTAAATCATCTGAGATGAAACATATTGAATCACATTTGAGGACATTATTTTCAATATAATAAATTATTGTTGGATGCAATGTTGCTTGAATTTTGTTCCAGTAAAAACTTTGTATTTTGTCTTGTACAACAAACTCGTAATTTTCTGAGAAATCACAAAGGACAATGACCTCAGTACTACTTAACTCATTTTTTAACTTTCTTAAAGAACCAGCTTGACTTTTTTTTTATAAGAATGAAAAGTTAGTTTTTGTAACTTATTTTTCAAAGTAATAATAGAGCTACTTGTCGTTTCTGTTAGATTTAATAGCTCAGATCATTCTATTATTTTCCGTTGTTTTTAATCTATACAATAATCATCATTTTCGTCAGTATCGTCTTGAGAGTACAATTTATTTTCAAGATAATGTATCTTCTGGGCACAAAGGGCAGCTAGAATCTTCTGGGCACAAAGGGCAACGATGTATCATGCAAGTCTTGTTCACCCTTCTACAAACAAGCATATCAATAAGCTCGTGATAATCCTTTGATAATTCAACTGCACTAATCATTAACTGATTATTGCGCTAATCATTAGCTGAGTTTGCACTAATCATTAGCTGAGTTATATTTTTAGTACTTTATTATTTTTATTTTTTCCTGGGTTTTGTTTATATTCAAGTGCGTTATTTTTTTATATCCACTTTATTTTACCCATTGTAAATTTATTATATTGGGCCTTGAGCCTGTCAATAAAGATGACTGACTGATTGATTGATTAACTTAACATTTTGATGGTAGGTGCACACACATACTGTATGCGTACCAGATGCTCCAACTGTAATACACCATTTTTGATGATGTGAGTAAAAGTTAGAAAAACAGCTTTTTATATCTGGATAACAGGTTTAAAACCTGGATAAAAGGTTTAAAAGAATCAAACTTTTTTGCATGTGAGATCTTCGAGCTATACTAACAAAATCTTTTTTACAAGACATTAGTCTGCTATTTTCATCATTACAAAAAAATTCAATAATTTTATCTACTGTTTCTTGAGGTATTTCCTTTTCTTTTTTTTTTCAGGAAAAAATAAAATACCATTTTTCGGCAGCAATTTGCGTGATATCTGCACCATATAATTAGTAACATTAAATTCTTTTTCTATATCTTTGTGAGATCAAGAAATTGGAACCAGTGTTAGTAGTTGAATTTTCTGATAACGATTGGAAATTAACATTTTTTCTTTGGTTTTTTTAATAAGTATATTCATGCCATTTGCTTTACTTTTAACTTCCTAAGATAATTTATTGAAGGAATCTTCTTGGCTTAACTGTTCAGGATCTATATTTAAAGTCCTTGCAATACCTAACTTTACTGTTTTTTGAACATGTAACAATTTTTTTTTGTCAAGAGCAACTCTTGAGTGACAATTTACAGCATGCATTTTGAGAGGACTTAAGTTCATAGTTGTCAAAAAAGAGCAGAGCAACTATAGCAATTGTTAATGCTACGCTATAAAACATGGGAATATTAAATGAATCAAATATGCTTGATAAGTAGGACGAGAAAGACTTTGTCTTGGACAAAACTATGTAATTGGGAAAAAATGTGAAAATTTGAAATTACAATGTATTGGTTTTGATGGAATAACAACTAGAGGAAAAAGAACTTGTTAGGAAAGTTATAGAATCAAGCAGCAGCTGTATAAACTAACTAACACCTGAAAACAGAACTTGACAGACAATTTTAGTGGCTCATTTGTCAACTCTATTTAAATGAACCTCCGTTTAATCATTTTTTCAAATTATTTGATGGAAAAACTTTTGGTTCAGCATCATTTAAAGGAGATATTGATAAAAAAAATAACAGAAGACGTAACTAACTTAGCAGTAGTAGCTATAACAGAAGCACCTTTTACTTTCAAAAAAAGTAAAAGGTGCTTTTCATGTACTTGGCGATAACATCCTCAGTACATTAGGCGTAGATCAAAAATATCTTTACAGTATCTGTTTATCTATTCAATCAATAGAGGTTTCAAATAAAATATCTAAATAAAGCTTTGCTGGAAACATTCATCATGCTTGGCGGCTCACAAAGGATGCTCAAGTCAAGAAATACTAATGAACACAATAGACATTTAAAACTTCCGGCAACATCTTCAATGAAAAAGTCAATGATTACAGTGAATTGGTAAATTCACAATATTCGTTCAAAATTCAGAATAGGATATTGAAGAAGTTAATTCAATATCTCTACTGAATGTTTTTTCAAATGAAGATAGTTTGAAAGCTAACAACAGTCTATAAAGTATTCTAAATTATTTTTTTCCAAGTCAAAATATGGAAAGAATTGTTGGAATAGTCACAGAAATTAGATATGGTTTTGGAAAGCGTCATAAATTTGTAACAAATTTATTGGAATCTAGGGGGAAAATGCCCAAGTTTAATTGGAAACCACAATGGAAATAAGACATTTGAATAAAGATAAAAACAATTTTTCTCTAAAATGCTTTAAATTTGACTTTGTGTGCGACCCCTACGGAGGCAAGCACAGACTTCAGTTACTATCTCTCTCTATATAGGAACCCCAAATAAAATGCTCCTTTTTGAAAAGAAAAATTGATCGGTTCTATTGTTTAGTTTAAATTAGTATTATTGTATTTTCTTTCTTCTTAATGAATTAGTTTATTATCTTTAAATATTGCTCTCAAATCCAAATAAAAAAAAAAAAAAAGCGCACTTAATTCACATATCAAAAAAACATCAAATATGAGAGATCATTGGTAGTTTTTGGTTTGCACGTTTAATAATGACCAAGTTGCAAATGCTTTTACTTCTCTAATAACTTACACTGCAAAAATATCTTTCTTAAAAAGGGCTTAAACTACTAGTACTTTTTTTTGCATCCAAAAAATATTGCAAGTAGAAAATAATTATGATAATTTTAAAAAATTCCATGAATTTTCCATGACTTTCAATGAAAATTTAGAAATTCCATGACTTTTTCCATGACCAAATAAAACTTCTAGACATTGTCATGATTTCCATGACCAGTGGCCACCTTTTTATTAGAACTCATACTCCGTTTAATTATTTTGAAACGAAAAGTCTGAAATTCTAATAAAATAGAACATCCAAAAAAAAATTGCCTGTTTCCGAAAATTTAAACAATTTTTTGATGATTTTTTACCTTGACAAGTACAGCCTCGCTTCGAAAAATCTCCGTTCTTTTTCGGAGATATTTAAGAAAAGCTCTACTAATAATAGTATTAGAGAAGTAATATATTTACTGACACGTTAAATAATATATTGACCAATTACGATTATTTTAATACAAATAAAAACCAAACAAAAAAACCAAACCAAACAAAACAAAAAACAACTTAATATCGCAGTTTTTAATTCTTTTTATAGATACAATAAAATTAAAGAAAATTCTAATATTCCAAATTAAATTTGAGAAACACAAACAACCAATCACAACTCAACATAATATGGCTCATTAGAACTTCATAAAAAAAAAAAAATATTACAAATAAAATTTGTCGTTGGAAATGAAGACTACGATAAAAGAAAACAATTTATGTCAAAATTAAAAAAAGTTTTCAAAATATTTTCTAACATTTCAAAAGAAACAGTTACATAAAGATCTTTTAAAAAATATCTTTTTGACAACATTTTGAAAGAAACCGTTTTGTAATGACCTTTAAAAAATATCAAATAATTAAAAATTATACAAAAGAACGTTTCACGTTTCTACGCACTAAAACAACGTCGTCATACCATCTCCAAAAACGTACACAACGTTGATATATCATTTAAGTACTTACTCCTAAAATCAAAACCCATGACAACCATGACATGTTTGTTAACGGTTGTTCATTTAATTTTTATTTTCTTTCGCTTTTTGTATGTTCGTATCTGTTTTTTTACCTTCAGTGGGTTTTTTAAAAGGTTTTTCATCTTTATGCTTTCTTTGATTTGAGTTGGACTGATTACCATCGCTTTTTTTCTTTCCAATTTTCAATTTAATATGGTCTTTAATTTCTTCTTTATGTAACTTTTCGTCCATTATTTTGCTTCTATTCATTTTATTTTTTTCCTCTTCGTCCAAGATTTTCCGATTTTCCTCCTCAGAAGTTAATTTAGTCGAAGAAGAATCGTCATCTTTTTTTGTTTTTAATAAATTCTTTTTTTCTTCATTCAATCGAGAAGCCTAAAAATAACTTATAGAGTCACACATTTTCCTATACAATTGTACGTGCATTAGTGATCGACCAAAACTCGGTTCGGTTCCGGTCACAAATCTGACCTGATTTTTTGATTCCTGTTCCGGTTATATTTAAGGTTTTTATTTCCGGCCGGAATTATAGTTTGAAATGATACCAAAAATACACTGCGCGACATAATGATAAGACATCCCAAAAATATTTAAAAACTAATTTTTATAGTAAATGAGAGCTACGGAATACAAGATTAAACAATATTTAAAAAAAATTATTTTAAAACTAACTTGCATTTCATTAATATTTCGACAAAATTATAAGACACTTTTGGAAAAAATTCCAATAAATTGTCATTTATATAAAAAGACGTCTTTTTACACAAATAATTTTAAACAATCAATTACTTACTTTTACAATTACTTTTACCATTTTTTTAATCACTTCAATCATTTTAGAAGGTAAAAAATTATACAACTTTTTTATGTACGAAAGGTCAATTGCATCCCATGCAGATGCGATGATTTCAAGTCAGCTAGTGAACTATATTGTTTACCACATTCAAACACTATATGTAACACCTGTGCCCCACCAATCTCGATAATGTTCAGGTCTGGAGATCTAGCTGGCCACTTCAATATTTCAATTTTACTGCTGTTGAAATACTTCGTTACTATCTTAGCTGTATAAACGCTAGAAAATACTACTTGTTTCCACTTTTCATTCTATGTTACGTGGTCCTTTAATAGATTATTTATGTGGTTGGTTGTCAAAGGTGGTTTTGGCTGAGGTTTTTGCGCGAAAAGTGCAAAGCATTATGAATAACTCGCTGAACTGTACGTAAAATAGCAATCACACCTGCTTCTGCAGCAATTTGACGTGCAGTTAATAAAAAATTTGAAGCTTGTCTTAACAACCTTTGACTATCACGGTCATTTAATGTTGGTGGACGTCCGGGACTTTATTTTATTCCATAAATGAGGACTATAAACGTAGTTTTTAATCACAGTTCGGCTGTGACCAATAGCTCTAACCATGTAACTAACGGAGTGACCCAATTTCGATAAGTTAGAGAGCACTTTTTTCTCATCTGGACTCAACGGTGCAGCACGACCCATTGTTAATTAATTTGTTATTTTATACTTAATAAAAAAAATACTTAACTAAATTAAGTTAAATAATCGTCTTTGGTGTTTATATCAAATAAATATTCTTAATTGTTCACAACTGCGGTTTGTAAATAAAACATTTTTTGTAAAACTGTCATAATTTTGCCGCACTAAAAAAATTTTTTTTTATATATATATAATGCGAGTTACGATAATAATAAATTTGTTAAAATATTGTTTAGTGTTGTAAAACCTTTGCTTTCATTTACAATAAAAATTAGTTTTTAAATATAAATGTATATTAGAGTTTTATAAATATTTTTGGGGTGTCTTATCATTATGTCGCGCAGTGTAGATATCATAAAGCTTTGGAAGCTTTCTTTGATTTGAGGATGTTTTCCAAATAAAGGTGGTTTGAATGAAGGATGACGGTGATTACGTCAGATCGTCGTTTTACTAAGTTAAAAACGTATTTTTCTTATTTAAGACATATGAACACATTTGTTTTATTATTTGTTTTTTTATATTACTTGAATATCGAGGGTAATAAATAACAGGGTGTAGTGAAAAAACTTTTTTTGAAATTGAAAATTTGAATATTTGTTTCAGATTTTAATATAAATGATTTTGATTTAGTTTGTTGCACAGTATAATTTTAATAATGTTTTTAATTTAGTTTGTTGCACAGTATAATTTTAATGTTTTTGATTTAGTTTGTTGCACAGTATAATTTTAATATTGTTGCACAGTATAATTTTAATTTTAATGATTTTAATTTAGTTTGTTGCACAAAAAAGTGAATATCAATATTTAAATTCAGCCAAATCACAATTCAGAGAATCAAAAAAGAATGGAAAAGAGTTACTCAAACTGTTTGGAGAAAATGAAAAATTTGATTTACAGTATATTGGAACAGATTTTACAGCTACTAACACCGGAAGGAGGGGCTTTAAAAAAATAGACGATCTTTTTTATTAAAAAGTTAACTTGGATTATATGTATGCTGCATACAATATAAGCTTTCTTTTAGACATCTTCAAGATCTTGATGGAAAAACAACTTCCAATAATGGATTCAGTCAAGTTGTGGGTGAATTATTAAATTGCGTTACTTTACTTCCAGTTGCTCAAGATTTTCCAATAACAACCATTAGTAAAAGACCAATTGAATTAAGTAAAGTTGTGATTGATGATCTTTTGATTGATCAGCTCTATGGCTATAAATTGATTTAAATTATACGTTCAGGTAACTTACATATAGATCTTAAGAAGATGGAGTGTGGTCCTGTTAATCACAGCAGATCGTTGACCATTGCAAACAGACTGTTACAAATCTAGGTCTCAGTTCATGGACTGTCTAAACAAAACTTTAATAATTTAAGTTGCATAGTTGAAAGTCGTTGGGGTTCATTATCCAATGTGGTTTGATATTAAGGTAAAGTGTGCTTTTTTAGGTTTAAAACATGTTATAGAAACCTCAAGGTAAGTAAAAATGCAGAACCAAGTTACCAAGGGTATTGTTGGTTTTCTCACAGCGAAGCTGTTCTAACAACAATGCTTTGTAGTTCTATAGTGAAAGAGCGAGATTTTGCAATGGATTGTATCCTTTATATCAGAAAAGGTTCTGACAAAGGAGACATCTGTTCAAGAAAGAACTCATACTTCTTTAAATTTGGTGCTAAGAATCTCACATAGCTATGTTCTTGGACTCATACCGTGTTTGAGCCAATTCAAACATTTACTATTTAGACTATTGTTGATTTTAAAAATAATCTCATGTTTCCTGATTCCATACCATGCCACACAAAAAGTATTGAACGGGCTGTGAAACAGACAAGAGCTTGTGCTTTTTTGTTTTTCTCATTGGACAGAAATTGCTTTATGAGATTTTGTGCCAGTTTGGACACGGATGTTCTTAGAGTTAATAGCGCAAAAATATCAAGTAAAATTTAAAGTTATTTTTAGCCAAATGTTTTAACTAAAATAACGGCCACCGATGGCTTGCCATTCAGGGTTTTTATATTGTCCAATGAGCTAAAAAACTTGCTGATTGCTCGAATCCATTCGCCAAATAGTTATGAAATATGCTACTAAATATCGAAACTCGATAATAAAAGAATTACCTGAACTTAAACAGCAAGGAATGCAATTAAATCTTACATTTGACGAGTGTACTTCTGTAAAGAATAGATGTTATTTGAACATTATTGTTCATTCTCAAAACAGATTTTGGAATTTGGGTTTAGCACAAGTTAATGGACGTTTCCCAGCAAAAATAATGTGTTAAGCTAATTGAAAAACTACTGAAAGAACACAACTTTAAAATTGATTGCGATATCGTATGTATTAGTACGGATGGTGCATCATTATGAAGAAAGTTGACAATTAATGTCCATCAACCAACAGCTTTGTCTAATCCATGGAAATCAATTGGTTGTGTTTGACATCTTGTATAAAATAACAGTCATGGGCTCGACAGATGATTATTTTTAATCTGATGAAGATAGAGTTGGTGAGATTTCAGATAAAAATAATGAAGACCATTTAGACAGATCAAAGATTTTTCAGAGCTCACCAAATTTAAATGAACTTGCAAATAATTTGGCTCTATTGATAAGCAAAGTTAGAAAAGTTGTAAAGCTGTTTAGACGATCACAGACAAAAAATGAAATCATTCAAATTTATGTAAAAACTGATTATGGTAAAGAACTGTCAGTAATATTAGAATATAAAACCAGATGGAACTGCTTACTCTTTATACAAAAGCACTTTTATAAATTAAAAACTACATTCAAAAAGCCATGGTTGACTTAAATTCAGCTATTAATTTTACAGAAACTGAATTAGAATTGATATTATCAACAGTTTTTATATTGCTACCAGTGAAATTGGCTGTAGAGCCTATTGGAGAGATGCTAATCTTTTATCAGCTAATACTACCTTAGCATTTATGCTGCAAAATTTGGGTGAAGGATCACTATATAATGATATAAAGGCCTCCTTATTCAAAAGAATAAAAGAAAGGCACACAAATATATATTATCTCATACAATTTCTTTATGAAGGTGATCAAACCCAAAATAATTTTGGTTCAGATATCATATTTGATCAGCTAACTAAAACTGCTTTGGTAAATTTAATTGTCCATCTTATCCATTGGCTCTCATCCTTCCAAGCTGAAACTACAGCATTGCCATCCGAAACATACAACGACAGAGATACCATGTGACAAACTTTTGAGCTTGACATTACAGAAGCAGCTGGCCATAAATAATGAGATAAAAATGAAAATAGTACCAAAAACAAATTAAAATATTAACGATTTGACTAAAATGATACAAAAAGAAATTTCTATATTTGAGGAAGACGATACACGTGGTACCAACTTAAAGTTGGTATACAATTATATTTCAACTATTTCCCCAATGAGCATAGAAACTGAATGGGCTTTCTCTTCATTGTGAATGTTATGTACAAAAATTTGGTCATCTTTAAATGATGTTTATGTTTTTTGTGGGCCTATTTCTATATTAAATAACTTTTAATTTTTATGTTTTTTTTTTTTTTTTTTTTATAAATGAATTAATTTCAAATGTTTTAAAATGTTTGTTTTGTTACTTAGAGTTTTAATTAATATTTTTTTGAATATTTATAAATACCGGTATTAATACCGGTATATTGGTTTTCACTACATCTAATGCCAAAAAATTGGTATTAAGTGATCGCAAATTGCGATATCTGGAAATGCTTCCGGTCTTTAAAATTTTAGCTTTTTAAAAAACCGTAAAACTGTTTTGATCACTAAACTCAATAGATATCATCTAATAAAAAATATTTACATCGATTATGATATAAAATTTAAATGTAAAACCATATTATCACTAT